TCACACACACACACACTCACACACACTCACTCAGTGTAAAGTCCTGCTTCATGATAAATATCAGCAGCATTTAGAAAAGTGAAGGTTCTTGTGATGTAACGTCGACGCTCTGACGGAGGAGCATCAAACGTCTGAACTCAGATTCAGTCTGATGAAATACTTTCTGATATGAAACCTCTGCTTCTCAGTAAAACACATGACAGAAGAAGAAGAGACGTGGTTTTATCTGTTTAATGAAGATGTGATTTGTTTCGTCCACTTTATTTCTTCTGTTCCACTCGATAAAGATTGAATCTGTTTTAAAACAATAAAGATTGAGTGAGTGGGAAGAATCGGCTCCAGCCTGAAGTGACTTGATAAGAGGGAAATGTTTTAGAGAACGTTTAATCGTGTTGTTGAAGCTCATCCTGTGAAATATGTTAAATATCATCAGTGAAATAATCAGTGAGAACAAATGAGAGAAAGGTTTCAGGAAGAGAAATAAAGAAGGTGCTTCTGTCACAGTTCATTGTGTCACAGTGTTTGAATATCGAGCAGAAATAAAAAGGTTCAATTATTGATCTTAAAACAAAGGTGGAGTCGAGACCCGTGACTTTCTCACGTGTTGAAAGTTTACAACACGTATGTTTTCATTGTTTTACAGGTAAAGCTCAGAGTTACATCATCAGTCAGGACCACTCCCTCCGCAGCACAGTCACATCAGTAATGAGTCACACTGTGTTTTACTGGAAATGACATGAAAACCCAAAGAATTCAACATGAAATTAATTCATTTTTTCAAATCTTATTTCAAAACGAAGCTTCCCGTTAGTTCATGCAGGACACGGAGTCATGTGCTCAGCTGTCAGCCACCGGCCAATCACAGCCCATTCTCTCACCAAAGCGGCCCCTTTAAATACGACCTCATCCTCACTGATCCCTGCTCAGCTACACTGTCACTGCCTGCTACGCCCAACAGGGGGCTCTGCACATGTTCCCCGTCTTATCTTAGCTGCTCGGCTGATCCAGGGAACATCCAAAGAATGGAGCCTTCAGCTCCGATCAGAACATTCATGACAAAATGTTCCTGACTGAACCAGCGTTAATCAAATTCTTTAATACGACATCTTTGTCACGTTTGTGACGATAACTTTATGAAGATTGTAAAATAACATGAACACACTGAATCTATGTTTCCTCTAAATGTCATTTTACCGTTGTTTTCATTTTCTGTCTCTGTTTCTTTTTATTCCGTTTAATATCATGTGATCACGCTTCTTATGTTTGATCCATGTTCACGTCGTCCATCGACTGTTTCATTTCAACAACTCTGTCGCCCTCTGTTGGTGAACATTAGTAACAGCAATCACAAAACCTCTTTTTTCACAAAAATGGATTTGAGTCTGAACTTTTTATATTTTTTGGTTTAGTGACATTTTTAACATTTAAGATCCAACATTTAAATTCACTGACAAACTATGATTTCATGCCTCGTTAATGTGGTTTAACATTTTTTATTTTCACAGAGAGACGATTGATTCTGAAAAACACACACACACACACACAGTAACCTTACCTGTTGCTGTGTGTGTGTGTGTGTGTGTGTGTGTGTGTGTGTCTGTGTGTGTGTGTGTGTGTGGTGTCATGTTGTCACACCTTCAGCGTCACCTTGTGGTCACATGAGGGAATTCCACAAATCTCATTCCTTTCTATATTCACCGACACCCGAACGCCTCGTTACACGACAGGAAGGCGGGAAATTCCAGCTACGCTGTTGGACGTCAAAATGGGACATCAGCTGTCAATCAAGCCGGAGTATGTTCAGTGCTAATATAGCAAGTTAGCTTGTCCAGCTAAAAATAACAATAACAGGTTTTAAAGTTTAACAACCTTAATGTCGGCCAATCAGAAACGATGCTCAGGAAGTCTCTTCTGATTGGCTGTTTGTTTTGGATAACGTAAGGCGAAGCCAAACACAGTTAACCCATTGCTTTGTTTGAATGTCATACGTGTTCTAAGTATATACAATAACACATTTAACGTGTTATTTCACAGCTGTTAGAGTTTCTCGTAGATAGTGAGTTAGCTAGCCGAGGTCTTAAAGGGCTAACATGGCTAACAATGCCAAAAGTAAAATCACTCGAAAGACACTTTTAATCAAGTTTTTCTTTTAATTTTCAGGTAATTTTACACAAATAAAATTATACTTTGTTAATGTGTTCATTCTCTTCCTGGTGTTAGCGGAACTGACACGGCCTGTTTGTGACAAAAAAATGTTTATGTAAAAATAAATCTATAAATAAATATAATCTGCCGTGACAGAAAATCTGTGGTTTAAATATTTCAGGGGACTCGTCAGAGTTCAGGGGAATTTAAAGATCATCAGTTTGAAAAAGATCGAAACTGTTTGCGTCCTTCAAGTGTTTGATGTCTACGCCCATCTGCCACTGGAGGCAAAGTTCCTGCTCATGCTGTAGACGATGGTGGAGCTCTGATGTTTCCCCCACGCTGCCAACGGGACGATGATGATGGTGCCGTTGTCCTCTGAGCCGTACTGCAGCGCCTGAATTAAGATATTTAGTGAGAACGAGCTGCTGGACAGAGCGATAGAGTTTGTGGGCGTGAACTTACCTGCTGAGCGATGACGTCCGCTGCCTCCGTTGGGTCCTGACACTGGTTGATCACATCGCAGACCTCCTGGTCACTCAGCAGGAAGTTGATGCCATCAGTGGTCAGAGCGAGGAAGGAGTCGTTGGCGTGTTGGACCTGCAGAGACCAACTGGATCTCAGGTTTCCCCCAACGATAAAAAACAGAACCCAAATCTCCGTTGTCACTTTAAAAACGTTGACACATTTACGACAAAGTTTGTTACCAAGTTGGTAAATGGGACATGGACCAAAGATTTGTCTTTATATATGTTAATACTTTTAATCTACATACAGTATATATCTGATTTTCTACGCACTGTCTGTCGTCTCGTATCCGGCTCAGCAATGACGCCGCTGTTCTTCAGGTGGAAGTCGCCGATGCTGCGAGTCATGGCGAGCCGCCCGTTAACGTTGGCCTGGCCGACACTGTTCCACGTCACGAAGCCGCCAAACCTCTGGATCCTGAAAACAAAACACAAGACTAGTTACCGACTGGAGCACATACGACTTTAAAAACAGACACAGAATCCGTGTCCTGATATTCGGGCTCATGTCCTTTAAATTCAGAACGATGGCAGGTTTGTAGAACCGTGACTGTAGCTTTAAGACGGTGTGAGTAGGTCACAGTGAAGTGTTGTTGTGTGTTTGTGTGACGACAGTTAAACTTAATCTGGTTCTGCTGTTACATAACGCCGGGCGGTCTAACACACTGTACTGTATGCAGCTGTCCTTGAGCAAGGCACTGAGTCACTGCCAGCTGAGTCTATTTTTACAGGACGAGCTGAGCAGCTGCTGGTGAGAAACCTGAAGCCTGCAGCTCGTTTACCTTTAGACTGTGATTCGAATAAACCGTTTTACAGATTCATCGTGGAAACACAACCGAGAACACAAAGTTTAACTTTCATCTAACGTGAACAAAACTTTCTTTCAAAAGGTTTTTTACACGCAAGCGAACACACTCAGATTTTTTATTTCTGCTCCTTGTTGGATTTTGTGTGAACGACGCTTCGTTGTTTTTATTAAAAAAGAAACTTTTCATCGTCAAATGTTTTTTTTTTATCCATTTATGTTTTTGAGTTGGTTTAACATAAAGCTGGAACATGTGAAGAGAGAGAGACAGTGTACCGGTGTCTCTCGTCCTTGCAGTCAGGTGTGTGGTCCTTGGTGAGTTTGGTTGCTCGTCCCTTCCGGCACAACATCGCCCGGCTGTCGCCGACGCTGCCGACCACCAGCTCCACGCCGTCACGTAGCAAAGCCACCGTCGCCGTGGTGCCGGCCGTCAGGAAGGAGGCTGAGGACAGAGATGATTTCAGACGTTAGTTCTCAGGGTGTTTTGTCCTGTAAAATATGTATTAGTTATTTATCAGTGTGTAGTTGTGAGACCGTTGTTGAAGTAGCTCAGGTGTGTGTGCAGAGCGCTGTCCGCGTCTAAAAAGGCTTTTTTCAGAACCTTCTCCAGGTCGTCCTCGTCCTCCAGAGCGTCTCTGATTACAAATAACAAATCACTGCATCTGTCTTTTATTGGTTTTTGAGAAGAGTGATGACGCATGAATTCAAACCTGATGAATTTCTCCATGAAGGTGTAGCAGTAGTCTGCGGCGTGAGGGCCGCCATGGCCGTCGAACACGGCGAAGTACAGCAGGTTGTCATGGATACGGGCCACACGGAGACGGTCCTCGTTCTGCTTCCTGAGACCCAAGACTGACGCACTGCCGACCCGGGATAAACTCACCTGTAGAGGGCGCTGTTTGTTAGATCTACTGGTTTCATCCTTTCATCCATCCATCATCCATCATCACTCCATCTGTTATTCATCATCCATCCACTCCTCCTCAGTTACCTGTGGAATTGGTTTCCCATATCTGATACTGGACGGCAGCAGCACTGGTTCCTCTATCCTGTTGTCCCAGATACCAAATGAGTCCCAGGTCACCGGTCGGCCTCTGTCGTCAACGTTCAAACAGACCGACCCGCTGGCCCGCCGCACCCCCACCACCCCCAACAAGGCCCCGCCCACCTGCAGGATACATTTGAAAAGTTTAGCCATAAAAGTGATGGACATGTTCTCGTCACGGGAACAAAGGTGGACACGTACTGACCTGTCCAGAGGCTGGGGAGGTTTGTGCGGAGGATTGGAGGAAGGTTCGACCGGTGCAGCGAGCACAACGCAGCAGATTCAGCAGCACCGTGGACGACATGTCTTCAACAGCTGAAGGAAATGAAAGGAACAGAACTAAATGCATTCCACCAGGGACCTGCCGATCATCAGACTCAACATGAAGACCTTGTGTTGTCCTTTATCTCACTTTGATCATTTTGATCAGTGTTATAAATGTTGTCATGTCTGGCTTTGTTAGGGGGCGTGTCAATAAGTGTGCATTATGCAAATGTGAGGCAATAAAAACATTTGAAGAAAGAAACAGTGAAAACATTTTGAATGAGTTTTGCAGAAGTGAGGAGCTGAACTGGAGCAGAGAGGAGGTCGACGGTTGGCAGCAGAGAGAGGTTTAATCTTTCACACTGTCTGACATTAAGGAGGATTACACCCTCTCTCTATGTGTGTGTGTGGGGGGGGG